TTTAGAATATTGGTTAGTCATGAAGTTATTTGAGGTTATGGAGTTAGTTGACTCAGTGGTCGTAGTGACTTATGACATTTTTTCTTGTTACAGGCTGAACGTCTAGCATGTGGCCTGATTCATCTTGGTGTGGAAAAAGGCGATCGTGTTGGAATCTGGGGACCGAACACATACCAGTGGGTGACTGCTCAGTTTGCCACTGCACTCGGTGGAATGGTCCTGGTGAGTTAAAGTAGAGAGGTTAAGGAGAGTTACACCCCATATCCGGAAAATGAGGAGGGCGTGACTGCGTACTGCATTCGAAGACGGCTTTGGATGAGCTTCTCGCGGGATAATTTAGTATGTGACAACTCTTGTTTTGTATTGTGCTGGACACTGACATGATTAAAGCTGTCCCAAAGCGGCAGTGCCCTACCAACAGCACAGCCGCCAGCATGTTCATATGAAGTGTGTAGCCACGCCCTCCCCATCTCTGGGATGTGAAGTGTACCAAACATTGATGTAAGAGGAAAAAGGAGTATGCAGCACAGTGTCCGATGTCTGTCCCAATCTGGCAATTTTATTTTCCGGGTATATTTGCTACCAACACACCATCAAGGCAACGTCCCCCTCATAAATTGCTGTTGCTCCCCATGTGATCGGTTACTCTAGTAAAACACTTTTCTCGAGAGCGTGTAAATTCTGGTAAATTAGGAACCGGAGGCGGAACTTAGAAGTGAAAAAGGTGGTGTTCACGGTTTTCCTTGGTCCATACTACGTTCTGTTGTTTTTCCTCCCCTTATAAATAAGTTTGTGCACGGTGTTAGCCCTCAAAAGAACATAGTGGCATCTTATGGCGGGCTCGACTTCCAAGGGTGAAGATGAGAAAGCCGGTCAGGCAGGTAGTTTCCAAGGACCATATAATGGTTTCCAGTTGGGCCCAGGTGCGCCATGTAATGGTTTCCGGTTCGGAATCGTTAGGGTAACTGATTTGGTTCCTACCCCTTCACTGTATTTCGAAGAGGGGGAGGGGCTAGAGGATGGAATTATTCGCAGACCGGGGGGGGGTATGAGAAAGACCTAGAGGTACATGCGCGGTGCTATGCTACCCTCCGCTTAGATTTCTCCATTGGTGCGCTCCTCTTCTTCACTGAAGAGAAAAGGAGGAATGCTTCAAAGTGCAAGACACAATAGCTGACCCAGGCCCGCCCATACGGTGAGCGCGGAATGTGAATTCAGTTACTGCGCAGGTCTTTGCCTCAAAGAATTCGTGTGATATTGTTAAGGTACTCACCCATGTATTCAAACAGGTAGAAATTTTTCAGGTAAATATCAACCCCTCCTACCAATCGGAGGAACTACGATTTGCTCTTGGTAAGGTCGACATCAAGGTGCTAATCACTCCTCCTGGCTTCAAGAAGTCCAACTACTATCAGAGTGTTAGGGTATGTTACCGTAAACTGGTACGACCATTTTTCGAAGCTATTTACCATCTCGTTCAGGATGTGATCTCGGAGATTGGACTTAAGCCGCCTGGCCGAAGCGATGTATCCTCATCGTGCTTCCCTGTGTTCCGCCATCTTATCATCTTCGATCCAGAAGACAAGGCCTACCCGTGAGTGACTAGAGAGTCAATAACCGCAAATAAAAATAAAATCTTTGAAACAGATTAATGAACTATGTTGTAAAATCTAATAAATGAGAATTATTGAGGGGGGTCGAAAGCAAGAGATAGCTCAGCTTCCGTTTCGCACGTGCCCTTAGACGGAAGCCGAGAACAAGCATTTCCTCCTCGTGCTCTTAGTAAGGAAAGGAAGAAAAGGTCCAATGTGAGCAAGTTTATAAGGTTAAACTGCTGGGCAATTGACTTTTAAACCCTTGCGAGCTCACTTTGGCGCGTTCATCTGCACTCCATTTTGCGCCATCATACGCCATGACAAAGCATAATTTCAGTGGCGCTTGGCGGATACAGCGATGTGATGCGCATGGGAAATGCTGACGATCGATTGAAATTGGCGAAAATCGAACGTGAAATCCAACCTGATGACCCAATCAATATCCAGTATACGAGTGTAAGTTTGACATTTGTCCACCATTTCATGTCAGACAACATTCGGATCGATAATCGATTGATATTCCACGGGAAGTCCACTGGCAACGAAAAGGTGCTACCTGACACATCACACGTGACTGAACAATGCCTCTTCATACGGTATTCGAGCCGGCTATCAACTGACAGGTGCGGCGTACTTTTGTATTTGTATTATAAATCAAGGTAGCCTACTGTTAGCCCTTCACAACATATCCGAATTCTACTGCTAGGCAAATGCACGGCGTGTTCGAAGAACTTTGAAACGAGTTTTTTTCTTTTCAGAAGACGATCATTTGCATCCCAAATCCGCTTTATCACTGTTTCGGATGTGTGCTGCGTGTAAACTTGCGCTCTCAACTCATCTGGCAGACAATGTGTCTTCCTGCACATCGTTCGAGAGCTTTGGCGCGCTTTAAGCTGTTGACGAAGAACGGTAGCATTGTCCAATCTTTGAAGTAAATAAAATAAAATTGAGAATCAAGGGCACATGACGAATATTAGCGCGGGGTCATGCATTATGGGTTCATCGTTGGCGCCTCGTCTTCTTTAGTGAATCAGCGAGGAGGGCTGATCTGTGAGGCTCCCGTCGAGTGTATACCTGACCACGCCCATACCTTCAGAGTTGATTATCATGGTGTTATAATTTTGAGAGGGACTGAGTTTCTACGTTTTTTTTTGCCTGGTTGCAGGGCTGTCTTGGAAAGAGGACGGGTACCGAAATAAAGAGGAAATGGACAATATCTGAATGACGGTCGCCTTACCGTAAATTGTCCCCAAATTGTTAGGCTGTGCAACATTTTTCTGCTGACTAGACGTGGAGCATGTGCATTGATGCCGAGGTTCCTCAGCGAACTACATGAGTGGCAAGGTGTCTACCGTGGCCAGGCGTAGAGACAGCAGCCTCTAATTGAAGAGGACCGACGTCGACAAGCGTGTTGGCCTGGCTGATCATCTAGCTTGTTACATATCCTCGTGTTTTGCCTGTAGGTGGAGTCCCAAATAGCACCCAGCGTACCACCCTACAGCCTCAATTCGTGCATTAATGACAAAAAAAGACATAGTTCTACCACTGTGGACTCTTTCACCTCGCACTTTTCAAATACTAGGATCCACGAGTGTGCAGCATGTTTTTAATGGTACCTTTGGATATGAGGACACGAGAGGGTTTTTCTTCAAGTATACAGATGATACTCTGAACGTCGTCCAATAAACAGAAACTGTTTTTTCTCCACATTTATTATGAAAATTACTACATAATTATTACGGCTTATTATGATTGCAATGAAAATAATGTTTTTTGTTCCTTTTCAGATGTACAGCCCTATACGGTACGCCAACGATGTTCATTGATATGTTGAACCACCCTGATTATCACCAGTACAACTACGATAGCATCCGATCAGGTGATTATGTTTACTTGAACGTTTTTTTTTCGTGAAACACGCGAGAAATGCGATTTTATCTGCCGATAATTTCGAGGAAAACCCCGCTTCATAGTGGAAAAAGTGTATAGAACACAGCGTTCGCAAGTCTTCTGTTACTCTTGAAATACGCGGCGTGCTTACGTTTTGTCCGGAAGTCCTGTAAACTCTATTCAATACGAAGAATGTTTTGTAAGGGTTGTTCACACGCCTAGAGACGTTTATATCGCAAATTCCAAAAAGAAGGAAGATGAGTTCGAATGCTCAGTACTCGTTGCTGCTGACTGATAAAGATACCCATGGGAGCGACTCTTCTAATTTGTGTTTTTGCGCTCGAGTAGAGTACAGTTAGTCGATATTGTAGTGGGAACGCCCTACTCCCAGAAATTCCACCATTTCACGAATGATACGTGGCTCGTTCCCCGAAGGCTCGAATTTTAGAAAAGCTCATTCCCTGTCCCGCGACATGTGCCGGGAACATCCTCTGATGTCTGCTAAATCCCGAGCAGAAGACCACTGGGCGTTGGGAGAACTGAGCATAATTTTATCCATTTCTCTTGCTCGATTTCAACGTCGGTTTCCCTTCCAACCTACTATACCTCTTAGTCAAGTTGAAGTTCATCCTAGAAACTATCGTGGTGAATCCAATTGAATTTCAGGTTTTATCGCTGGTGCCCCATGTCCAATCACGTTGTGTCGGCGTCTGGTGAACGAGATGCACATGCGGGACATGCAGGTTAGTGATTCTCCGGAATTTTTTTTCGCAGCCCCGCCTATGTTAGACTCCTTGGTTTCCTGTTTGTTTATAATGAGATGTATCGGAAAATCATCACAATAGACAATCTGTTGAAGCTTCACTGGTTTTCATGAACTTTTGTTGTTGGTGAATATCTATTGACTTGTTGCGTATAGCTCAGCGACGATGATAGAGGAGAAGCTCAAAAAGGAGACCAGGCCTAGCATCAGGGACCAATGGCGCCGTGCTTGGACTGCTTATTTTATTGGCATGCTTGGAATATGAGTC